TATTGGTTGCACCAAAAGGCAAAGAACAAATATCGTTCTTGTGAATATTCTGATATGATTCTTCATGTATCTTCTTCTGCACCAGCTTTTCTATCATCCAATTTTTCCGTTCTTGAACTCAATAGTACTATACAATATCCCCAATCACAATGTGTACTATTAGATATCTCTATAAATAGTGTTTTGACGCCCTATAAGTAATACTTAACTGATCTACTTCGTTATAACGTATCAAAAATATAACCTGTAAATGGGATCTAATCTGTAAAGCCGATCTTTAGTCTGAAATACTGGGCCAACGATCTAATCAAAGCGGGTATTATAGTAGTATAGAGAAACAATTATATTTTAGGTATTGAACAGTGATTGTGACTCGTTCGTTCGAATTGTAAACTTGTTAGTTTATATAAAAGAAAGTTTTTTTGAGAAACTAATTGAAAACGGATAGATTTGGAGACACTTTCTAGAGATTAAAATGCTTCCAATACTGCTGCAACAGGGTCAAGACAATGCCCAGGAAGAGGCAATATTCCGATCGGCGCCAATGACATTGGTTCAGTTTTATGTGACTATAGAGCTTGCTCGAGATGTTGTTTATGCACTAGGAAAACTCGGGGATGTTCATTTCAGGGATTTGAACTCGAAGTTGACACCATTTCAACGGACATTTGTAAACGAGTTACGGGGTATTGATAAGATAGAATCACACTTGGAGTTTTTGCGGAGTACGATGACCAAGTATGATACGATAGGAGCCACACCGTATCTGAGCTTGCAGGCCGATCAAAGGCCATTGCCATCGGCATCGGAAATGGATAATATCAGGGCTGAGGTAACTACATTTTACGAGAGAATCAAGCATCTTGATAACTCGTATAACTCATTAGACCAACAAAAGTTCAAGTACGTTGAGAACCGGTACGTGGTGACGGCGGTCAATCGATTCCATTCGTCGTCTTTGACGAGAGAGGATGACATAGATCAGCGTTTTGCAATCCATGGAGATACAGATGACGAAGATAATATAGCTTTATTGAACAATAGAAATAATAGCTTGGAGGATCCAGTAATTGATGCTGCCATTCTTGAGGACTCGGGTTTCAATTCCATTTCCGGATCGATTGCAAGAGAAAAGGTACCACTTTTAAGGAATATATTGTGGAGAACATTGAGAGGTAACCTATTCTTTCATGATATACCGATAGAAGACGAAAAAATGTCGAATTTCAGTCAGAAGAATGCCGAGTTTATAGATAAGAATGTGTTTATCGTATATATCCATGGGGAATTTTTGAAGCAGAGAGTCAGAAGAATTATACAATCGCTAGACGGAATAATTTATGACAATGTCAACGGAGGATCTAGCGCAAGAGCTGAAACTTTAACTGATTTGAATCACAAGATTGAAGATTTGAATAACGTTGTGCAAAGCACAAGAGAACATTTAATAGCTGACTTGCTTATTTTCCAGGAAGGTTATCTCGATAGATGTTATTCGGTTCAAAGAGAAAAGTTAATATATCAAACGTTAAATAAGTTTGATATGGATGGTACAAGAAGGTGCCTCGTAGGAGAAGGATGGATTCCTAAATCTGAATTTTCGACCTGCCAACAAACATTCAGAAACTTAATTCATCTGAAGTCCCGACACGTTATACCAGAAAACAACTCTCAGGAATCAATTTCGTTGTCTGCTGACAACACAGGGGCAAGATCGACACCAGAACCGCAAACCACAGATGAGTTATTTGCAATTGGTAATGCAAATGTAGACGATACTATGGAGGTGGAAAATGAAGATTATAATTCATTAGTTGCGGTCGTCAATGAACTTTCTACAAACCGTACTCCACCAACATATCATAAAACGAACAAGTTTACATCAGCTTTCCAACTGATCATTGATGCATATGGTATTGCTACTTATCAAGAAGTGAATCCAGGTTTAGCAACAGTTATTACATTCCCCTTTATGTTTGCTATTATGTTCGGTGATTTAGGACATGGATTTATTGTATTCTTAATCAGTTTGTATTTGATTAAGAATGAATCTTATTTTGGGCCAATGAAAAACAAGGATGAGATTTTCGAAATGGCTTTCAATGGTAGATACATTGTATTTTTAATGGGGTTTTTTTCTATGTACACGGGATTCATTTATAATGATATTTTCTCAAAATCAATGAGCTTTTTTAAGTCTGGTTGGGAATGGGACTTCCCAAAGGATTATGATTTTGGTAAAGATGGTCCAATAACTCTAATTGCTAAAAAAATACCAGGACACACATATATTTTTGGATTAGACTGGGCATGGCATGGAGCTGATAATAATTTATTGTTTACAAATTCGTATAAGATGAAATTGTCTATTTTGATGGGCTTCATTCACATGAATTACTCCTTATTTTTCAGCTTAGTAAACTACAGGTATTTTAAGTCTAAAGTTGATATTATTGGTAATTTTATTCCAGGGTTTTTATTCATGCAAAGTATCTTTGGATACTTGTCGCTTACTATTATCTATAAATGGTCTGTCGATTGGTTAGGTAAAGATAAGCAGCCACCGGGATTGCTTAATATGTTGATCAATATGTTCTTAGCGCCAGGAAGTATAGACGAACAACTTTATCCAGGCCAAAAATTTGTACAAATCGTTCTTGTATTGATTGCAGCAATTTGTGTTCCTTGGTTATTGCTTTATAAGCCGATGACTTTAAAACGTCAAAATAATAAAGCTATGGAGTTGGGATATTCCGATTTGCATTCCCAGATGAATCACAGTCTCCAAATGCACGAAGAAGAAGAAGCTATTATGTTAGAAAATCAATTGAATAGCGATCCACCTGATGAAGTTGATATGCTAGATGATAATTTTAGGTTTCCTAATGATGTTGAGCCATTGTTTCATAATTCGGCTCATTCTGATGATCATGATTCGTTTAATTTTGGTGACATCGTTATTCATCAGGTTATTCATACAATTGAATTTTGTTTAAATTGTGTTAGTCATACGGCTTCATATCTTAGATTATGGGCCTTGTCATTGGCCCATGCTCAATTATCAACAGTGTTATGGTCAATGACTATTCAAAATGCATTTGGTACTTATGGTGGTTGGGGTGTATTTATGACAGTGGTATTATTTGGAATGTGGTTTATTCTTACTGTTTGTATTTTGGTTTTGATGGAAGGCACTTCGGCTATGTTGCATTCATTGAGATTGCATTGGGTTGAAGCTATGTCAAAGTTTTTTGAAGGTGAAGGTTATGCGTACGAACCTTTCACGTTTGAGTCGATTGATATATAAATTATAGATTGAGTTCGTTGAAGCACCTGTGCTTCTAAAATTAGTTTATTCTGTTACATATATATAGTTCTTTTTGCTTACTACTAATGACTAGTTTCATTAAATAGATTATTTTTTGTCAAATAAATTAGCTAAAATTTCCATGACAGTTTTCCTCCTTCACTTGCCACGATTAGCCGTACTGCAACTAAACATACAGCACTTGATAATAATAACACTCCGTTATAAATAATTGGGTTCTTATAATCATTGGCATGAAGACCCTGGTTGGCAATCATTAAACCTGCCAAAGGGGAACCCAACATACTCCCAACACCCCTACTGAAATACATTAAACCACTCATTGATTGGTAATTTACAACTCCAAATAGTTCAACAAGACATGTCGGTAACAACGATATTATCACTCCAGAAAAAACTCCGTAAAATACAACGAATGAAATGTAGGCGTCTCTTGCATTTACCATCCACAACGCAAAAATTGTAACTGCGCTTAGTACGCTACATGTAATAATTGTATTCATTCTCCCGAATCTATCACCCACGTAGCCCAAAAGAATTTTGAAACAAGCGTTAATTGCATTATTTAAACCGATAAATAAAGCGCCCTGGTTATAACTAAAATTCAAAGTTCTTGCATATTTGGACATATAAATCAATGGAATTAAATATCCTGCTGATTGCAAAAGACCACCAAAAATAACAAGAAAAACTTTCCATGAGCCTAACTGACGAAAGTTAAATAACTTGTTGTTAGTCCTAAAATTGTTAACCTTCGGCTCCACAACCAAAAAGCTAGCAATTATGGTTAAGGTTAAATTCATAATACCAAGTGTTCTTACACACCATTGCCAACCAATCATACCAATTAAATAGCGGCTGATATTAGCCATTGCTAACCCTCCGAACCCAGTTCCACTAAATAATATCCCCATAGCAATTGCTCTATGACGATTGAAATAAAATGGAGCACACACAACTGGAGGTAAGTAAAGAAGACTCGACCCTACTCCAAACAATAAGCCTTGTGATAAAATAAACTGATAGAGTTCATTGCAAAAGCCTGTCATAATTAAGCCAATAGACATCAGTACGCTACCAATTAGCATTATATTGCGTGGCTTCAAATAGTACATAATACTCTTGTTAAATATACCACACAAATATGTGAGTGCCGTACCTAAAGTACCAACTATTGCAACTTCTGAATCTGAATAATCCTTCAAAGGCCCATCTTGAGAAGTATAGAATTCCTGGAAAACCCCGTATGAAAAGCCAATTCCAAATGTCATAAAGTTACAAATAAATCCAGCTATTACCACCTTTATACCATCTTTATTATTAGATATCGTTTCAATAATATCCCATTGCTTCGACGAAATATCGTCAATAGGTTCCTCTACAGAAATTGTAGCCTTATTCATCTCAGTGTCATGATGTCACAATATGTGAATTATAATCATATTTTTTTTTATGTACCTCAGATTTATTCAGGCACTGACGTAATAACAGGAGTCAGATTTTCACTAAATAACTTCTTTATTATTACAAATACTAGTACAAGTGTCTAACACACCATTAACGTATATATAAGAAATCATTAAAATATTAGCAAGAAATAAATTTAAATAAAGAATACAAAAGCTAGTCATATATATAGTAAAATTATAATAATCTTAAACATATCAAGTACTTAATCATCATCTCCTTCTTCGTCGCTCTCATCGCTTAAACCACCATTCAAAAGCAGTCCTTTAGAAACTATTAAATCGGATAAATCACATCTCAAATTATAATCAAGGAACTGTTTTTTGTCGTCATTGATCCATAATCTTGTAATTCTAATTAGCTTATCCAAAACATTGGAGTTTGTAAAATTGTTGGCATCTTGATTTTGACCAACCAACTCATCAATAACTTTTAATAATGCTGTGAATGATAATAAGGATAACGACGCCTTTTCTGAAGAAAAATTCAAATACCTGAGCAACTCATTGGATTTTGATTTTTGGTGTTGCTGATAATAAAGAATTAATGAGCTTGTCAACACAATGAACTGCTCTTCAGACACCAAATTTAATGAACTAATTAGAGACTTGTTTGAACTAATTGCCAAAGTCTTCGGCTGCTCAGTTTCATCAGAATAAGTCGTAGTCTGATCGGATTCATCGTCGCCATCAGACAAGTCAGAAACCTTGTCCTTCATTAATTCACTGTCGTCCTTAATATTTTCGAACATAGATAAGCTACTATGAACATCAGTTTCAATTCTTCCCAATAAGCTTAGTGCAGAACGCTCTTCAATCACGCTTTTGAATAAAGAAAAGTAACTTTTCAAGCTTGGGGTTGACCTATCATTCAACAAAATTGCTTCTATTTTATTAACATCCTCGCTTATTTGATTAAAGACCTTCAGCTTTTCTTGGCTCTTTGAGGCCATATTTTTCAAGTAGGCTAAGTTCAATTCGTGAGTGATTTCCAAGATTCTCCAAGTGACAATAGTATTATAGTAATCACCCGCATTTTCCTGAAAAAGCTCAACATATTTAACATTATTCTGACCATCGTATACTTTATTGTTAATACTCTTGTGTTCAGCTATATTAATGAGTCTTGTTAATAAAGAAGTGGAGCCTAGCATTGAAATTCCATCTATATTACGAATCAAGTTATGCAACTTTATCAATGACTTATTATCGCCCTTATAATCTAAATTCAATAATAGTGAACCTTTCAAACTCATATTGCGATTAATAAATTTGGATAATAATGGGAATTTGACACTTAACATGGTTCCAACAATTAAGTTTAAAATGCAAAGCTCGAATGTTGTTTCACATGACGCCAAATAAATATAATAATTAAAAAGACTAGCCCAAGAAAATTCTTCATCAGATTTCCCTGATAAAATAAACAAAATATTATCGACTTTCTCTTGTTCAAAAGGATGAGGTAAACGAAGGCCTAAGCTATTCAAAAGCCAAAACTTCCATATTTGTATTGTTCCACGGTCTGATTGTTTATCATTTTGTATTGCAATAAGTAAGCTTGGTAGTATTACGCTAGCCATAGATCCAAGAACCAATAGGATTTTTAGTAAGCTCCATAATTGTATGGTCATTGGACTTGGGTGAGTTACAAAATACGGCAAGAAACTTGAAAACGGTAATGCGGATAGTCCCTTAAATTCACTACCATTATCAGCTATTAATGAAGTCCCCATGACGGTTGCCAAACTACCAAGTAAAACCTTATTGTAGTTATAGCTTGGATTTGCAGTACTCATGCCTGTATTCTGATTATTGAAAGTAAAAGAGTCACCACTGAAATTCTGCACTGGTGTCGAATTAAAGCTTTGTTCACCTTGTGAAGGAACAAAGCCAAATCCACCTCTCTGTGGAGGCAACACCTGTTCTTGGGATATTGGCTGTGACTGTACATTAGCCTCTTGAATCAATTTCTGTAATTGTGTGTTTTGTTGCTTCAATATATCATTCTTATGTTCTAAATGTTTAATGTATTCCGTCGCTTTCGTTAAGACACTTGCCTTATTCAATTTCGAAGCCGGAGTCAATCCTTCTAAATCTGCTATTGAAACATTCTTATTCCCAGATACAATTCTCAATGATGGTACTGCATCTCTCAAAGCCACAATTTTAGAATTAATATTGGTACGATATTTCTTTTCAATCATATTATGGCTGCTCTTATCCTTTTTCTGTGGCTTAGTGACCTTTGCATTCTTCGAAGTAGACGAACCCTTTATTCGCCCACCCGTATCATGTTCTTCAATCTTTACCAACAGTTCCGGGGATGTGTGGGTCGATGTTAATGAGGGCTGACTTAATGGTGTCATCCCGTTATTTGTGGAGTCTTGCGAGTATGTCCCGCTTGACATAGATGAGGATAGCAAATTATGCGGAGCCTTCATATCTGTTCCTTTCGTTTCTATGGAATAATCGTTTTCGCCACCACCATTATTTATGCTTGGATTGCTGTATTCTTGATTTATTAGATTCAAATCATCGCCAGCTTTATTCCGAAATATATCATTTTGGTTGATACCTTCTGCGGCCCAGTTGTTATCAACACCACCGATAGAATTCCTAAATTGTTCATCTTCACTCAAAGGCGAAAGTGATGAAACAGCCCCCGATATGTTCTGTAGGAATTCGTTTGCGTTATCGAAATTATAAAATTCGTTATCAAACTCGAAAGTATCTGTTGTCGTCATAACGGCTATCTGAGTATAATACCCTTAAAATCTTATTTTGAATTGATTCTTATTCAAGTTTTTAATCCCTGTACGATTTACTTACACCAAGAAAATAATCCCATGGAAAAAAGGCCATTATTAAGCCCTTCATAAAAAAAAACACCTGTTTTTCTTTAATCTATGCAAGTGCCCTGGCTATCATCGTTTAAAAAAAATCGCCTGATTTTTTTGAAATCGAGTGAGCGTTTCTCTCATTAGCCTCATTAGCCTCATTAGCCGGACAGAAATTTTATATTTAGTCACTAATTGTGTATTACTACTTCTAACATTCTAATACAAGAGAAATGTATAAAAAAGTCCTGTTGAATATATCTATATAGGAGGTAAGGCGTTCCGACACACCGGGCATTGTAATTTGTATTTCATCCAATCTTCTAAGCAATCAGTATGAAATATATGACGGCATGGGGTTATCATGTATTGCTGACCTCTCAATTTATCTCCATGCTGCTTAGGTTTCTTTGATTCAGCGTTTACGCCAATTGGCAACTCTATTTCATTCATACAAATTGTACAATCGACTTTGCAAGTGATAACATCCGATTTCGCAGGATCTTCATTTTGAGCTCTTATGTTGGACAAAATATCAGAAGCAAACCCATTTTCCAAGTCAGATATGTTCAAGAATGGATGGTAATCATATGCCTTTGGTAGCCATTTCTCATTAAGCCAGAACCTCGGGCCGAGGATCTGCTGGAGACATAATAAGCCGATTTGGAGTGCGTACCAGAGAGTTATAATAACGGCCATCATCGGATCGTAATGATGTCTCAATGGGTTCTGCGCATAAAGACACAAATACCAGATTGGCAGCAATCGAATCAAGGATGTCCCGAGGACGAATTCCCACGAGAATGCCTTTCTTCTATTCTTCAAAGTATTTCTTAAGAATTGGGGTATCCAGTACGAGCTGATAGCCAACAAACCGACGTATTCAAATATTTGACGGTATTTTAATCTCCAAGTAAGCACGTTCAAGATGAAAAATGTGGCAATAAGCGTCAACGAAAATCCACTAGCAAATAATCCGTTTGAATATCTTGCTTCATCGTTTGCACCAGGCATTGGAGCTGCAGTTACGGGCGCTGGTAAATCGTTTGCGTTTGTAGTGGTCCCATCACTAGAGCCATCATTATTACTACTACCGGTCTCATTTCTACTTATACTTCCTCTTAAAACTTCCCACCACGTAGTTCCTCGTTCGTTACCTTGATTCACCATAACACTCACGATGAATCTCATTTCAAAAACACCACAGGTAATAAATGATATTACTGCGACACATGAAAATAACAAGTATAAACTCTCGGTCAAAGTTGATATTAATAAGAAGAACAACGCAATTAATGAGTCCTGAAAACCAATAATAGATAACGTTGTCGTTGAAATATTCGATAATTGGCCTGGAGTTGTGGTCTCTTTTATCTGTCTAATAAATATAAAAAGCTGCGTCAGAACTAAAATTAGAAACACGATCAAAACCTTTTTGAACTGATTATCAGTTACCTCTACTTTATTTCCCTGAAGCTTCGTATCTCGTTTTAAATTTATCATTAATCCGCAATCTGGAGAATACAAAAGTGCTTCTTTGACTTCAATTTGTGGTATCAGTTGCGGTATTGGTCTCCCGCTAGGATTCATTAACTCTTCGTCAATGTCTTGTAATTGTCTCTTCAGATATTCTGTTTTATCAAATTGTAGGAAAGTGATGTACTCACATTGCTGAACAGATCTACTTATATCCGAATTCATTTCATCCATACTTATATCCCTATTAATATCAGTAATATTCAAAAACTGGCTCATTAGTAATCTGGATTTGTTAAAATTCTCTTCATTCATAGCAAAATGAGGTAACGCATCGAAACCTGAAAACTTTGCCGAACTTGAGCTTGCAACTAAGGATCCAGTGTTCTGAAAATACACTCCCAAGGTGTGCAATTCGTGTCGGTTAATCTCAGGGTGATCCACTAAATTTAGCTTCACCTCTACCATTACGGCGTCATCAACACTGTCTGTAGTCTTATTATATATAAACTTCGACATCCCAGGATGGCGGTAATTATAATCGAAACTCTTGATGGTTAATGAAAGTTTACCTGAATCTTCTGTAAAATTACCGACTCTATCTGGAGCAGTTCCCACATCATCTGGGGGTGGATTATTTTCAGGGTCTTGTTCGTACCGTTCTCTTTGCTCTTCCCTACGGCCTCTAGTATATGAATCAAAGTATTCTTGTAAATACGATGGAAGTGGTAACGAGTACTCTTTTAATTGTTTTTTTGGCTTATCTACTTCAAATTCGCCATGTGCTTTACCAGATATATTTAATAGATATGCTGGCGAAATATTCAACTCATCGGTTGGATCATTACCCCAAAACTCTTTCACCTTACTACTTACTTCATTCGGAAACAAGGAATATTTCTCGTCTTCAATCCAAGGTTTTTTCTTGTTATATTTATGTAATGGCCAATCCAGTATATTTTTGTTATCAAGACTATCAACATACGACAATTTTAAGCCTGTCAAATTTCCATATCCAGTATGGTATTCAGAGCTCAATAATTCCCGTTGGTTACTTTCTAATGACTCTTGATATGTTGTTAATGTATTCTTATCTTTTGTTGAATGTGGTTGGTCTGCCCCATTCGGCAAAGATAAAAAGATGAACATTATTATAAAGAATAATAACGTTTGGCGATCTACCTGCATGCCGTTAGGTGTCTGTTATTATTCTATATTGGTATGAAGGTCTTAAAAGGATAAAATTTAGTGGCAATATTCAATTAAATGATTCCGCAATAAAATGTTAGATAAAAAACATCACCAAAAAAACGGCCTAATAAACTACAAGCTTTTGAATAATTTTTTAATTATTACAGTTTTGTATTAATTTAAATACTCTAGATACCATATCATATTCAAATGTAGGCTTTAGGTAACAAAATAAACTAACAAGAAAAATAAAAAGAAAATACTGTCTTATAAGACACCGAAATAAATATTAACGATAAACAAGAAATACTAAATTATGATTAATGGTATAAATAAGTCAAATATTATTGGACTAGTTCAATGCAATTTGATATATTGGGATTATTTTTTTGAGCGAAGTTCGCTTGGTATATTTCCGTATTAATTGCCCTGCAATCATTCGAAAGAACCATTAATTGATATTTTACAATCGATACGTAGATCACATGAAGCCAATGGTAACAAATGTAGTGACCAAGACAATCATACTAGTTGAGATGAACATCTTGTTACCACTGTTGTTGAATTGTTGAACATCAGCGCTGGCAGTAGAAGTAGCTCTGCTACTAAAGGTCTCATCTGCACGTTTGTTGTTGACAGTGACGAATTGTGTAACGGTAGTTGGAACACAATCATCAGGTGAAACATTGGCATTTACTGCAGTAGAAGCGCCAGCAATAGTAGTAGGTTCGAATGATTCAGCAGCCGCGGTAGTTCTTGTGGCGCCATTACCATCATTCTTTGAAACATCTGCATCACAATCTACACAATCTTCACTGTCATCACAGTCTTCATCCTCATCATCATCATCGTCATCGTCATCGTCATCTTCATCGCAGTCACAGGTTGGATCGCAATCTTCGTCATCATCATCATCTTCATCGTCGTCGTCATCTTGACAATCGTCAGATGTAGATGAACCAACGTTTGAACCTGAACCTGAGGAGCCGGATGAAGAACCAGACGAACCGACATTAGAGCCTGAAGATCCAGAGGAAGATCCAGAAGATGATCCCGAAGATGATCCTGATCCTGATCCTGATCCTGAGGAAGAACCTGAAGAGGATCCAGAAGAAACGTCTTCATCATCTTCGTCTTCATCATCATCATCACAATCTTCAACAACTGAACCCGAACCCGAACCCGAACCTGAACCTGAGTTTGAACCTGAACTGGAATCTGAACCTGAACTAGGTACTTCCTTAATTTCTGGAGATACAGTCGTCTTAACTTCAGAGACTTCACTGGTTATAGTACGACCATCTACTGTCACAGTAGTGGTATGCATGATAGTAGTATAAGCAGTGCTGTAAGCTGTAGTGTATTCGGTAGTTTCATCACAGTATGTTTCGTCATCTTCATCATTTTTACCGTCGGTTGCAGTTGGAATTCCTGTAGCAGTACCAGATGGTTTTTGAGTAATAGTGGCAGTTGGATTTTTAGTGACAGTTCCAGTAGGGTTTGTTATAGTTTGACCAGCTGAATCAGTTTCTTCGTCACAGTAAGTTTCATCATCGTCATCGGTTGCAGTTGGTTTTCCAGTAGCAGTACCAGTTGGGTCCTTAGTGATAGTTCCAGTAGGGTTTGCTGTGGTTTGACCATCAGAATCAGTTTCTTCGTCACAGTAGGTTTCGTCATCATCTAGGCTAGATCCAGTAGAAACCAGAACAACGTTAGTAATCGATGAACCAGCAGTGTCCGATAGAGAACTATTGGAAAGACCAGATGCTGGAGGGATTTCGGATTCTCCGGCGATCGTGGTAGCAGGATCAGTCGTAATTGGATCGACAGATGTAATAGTAGGGTTAACTGTTTGACTTGCAGAATCAGTTTCCTCGTCACAATAAGTTTCATCGTCTAACTCATCAGAAGATGAAGATGAAGCATTGGACCTAACAGACGAGCTTGCACGAAATGAGCCTCCGATAATCGATGATGAAGCACCACTAATTCCAGCTGAATCAGAAGTTGCAATATTAGTATTTGTGGCTCTAAGTGATGTAGTTGGATCAGTACTGGTAGTTTCAACTGACGTTGTAAGTGGAGTGCTGGTTGCAGTTTCACTTGCAGAGTCGGTTTCTTCGTCACAGTAGGTTTCATCATCTTCCTCGCTGGAACTCAGAGAAGAGTTCTGAGAAGAGCTAGAATCATCAGCAAGCAAGGCATTCAATCTAAGTCCAGATCCACTTGAACTGGAAGCTGAGTTTGAAGAAGCAGCAGACGTGATCGTATTAGCTCTTGCTGTGGTTGCAGTTGATGTTAAACTAGGAGATGACGAAGACGAAGTTAAACTGGAACTGGAACTGGAACTGGAACTGGAACTGGAAACCAAGTTTGATGTTGGAATTCCTGTGCTAGATGGTGAACCAGAATTATCAGCAGCTGCGGCAACATTTGCACTCACGCCGGCACTAGCACTCACACCGGCGCTGGTCTGAGACGCAGCATTAGCATCAGCATTAGAACTATCATCAGAGTCGGATGAATCTGAGGAGCTTCCTCCTGATATAAAAGAGCCAATGGAGTCTAATATCGAACGTCCGAAAATTTTTTTGCTTGCTTCATTTTTAGTTGGTACATTTTCAACTGCAGCACTAGCGATGGCCGAGTAGACCAATATGGTACCACAAACTGAAGATACTTTCATTACTTAATTATTTCTTAGACTATATCGTTAGTCAAATTTGCATTCGATATGAAAGAAAAGCACAGAAGAAAAAAGACTTTTGACTCAAAACAATGAATTAGGCTTAAGCCAGGGTATCTACAAAATATATATGAATGCCTCCAGAAATCATCTTTGAAATTGGGGAAATATGTATACTCCTTTAGGTAATATGCAATTCATTAACCTCTTTGATTTGCAATTAATTACTATATTCATCGCTTATTATATCGTCTATTTTAGTTCCATGTTCGGTAAATTGAAAACTTCTAAATACTGTTTACGATATCTCTTTACCTAAACAGGGAATAAAATTTGGAACATTAAGCATTACCGAATTAGGAAATTTTTTTATATCGCATTCATGTTCAATAGCCTTCCCTATTCACGTTATGTTTCATTCGAGAAGAATAATAGAAAAGCCTTCGTAAGTCATGATTGTAGCATGGTTTTAGTAATTAATTAGTTACCTAACCGTCCATAATAGGAAATTTAATATTTACAATTTTTACGAAACAAAAGCAGGATACTATTATTAACAGTTTCGTTTAATTTGAAATACAATCCTACTAACCAAGCTGCAAAGGGTTTAGAGGATTCACGTGAGCTAATGAGGGATTAGGTTGGCCATTACATATTGAGAAGCCTTATTTTGAATTGGGCGATTTTCATTTGGCTCGCAACTAGATTACTATCCTGTGATCGTACCATAAATCACTTTGCACCCGTCGTGGTCCAAATATCCTAGAGCCAATACAGGTGATAATCTTACGCTACAGGTCAAATAGTAAATTTTGAAAATATGGGATTATAGTCACCAGATAAAGGATGACTACAAATTAGGATGGGGCATCTAGGTACAGATATACAAAATCGAATATAATAATATAATAATTATGAATTGAAATACAAAAAGGTATGCGAAAAGAAAGCGTAAAGCACCGAAACAAGTAATACACGAAATAGAAAGGTTATAATTATATATGATTAAACGTAGTCAACGTATTGGGAATCAGTCAATTCCTGTCTCTTTTTGATTGCAGATTTAATACTTCTCTTGATTTTCTTTTTCAAGGCTCTCTTCTTTGCCTTTCTCTTTTTACTTGCAGGTGAACAGCAACACTTCTTACCAGAAGAAGAAGATCCAGAAGAGCCACCAAACAATGAAGAACCACTGCTTCCCTTGCTAGTACTAGTGCTAGATGATGAACCTGAGGTTCCATCGAATAAAGCATTAACAAATTCGTTGACAATATTACTTAATAAGGAGGAGATTCCACCTTTAGCCGATCCTAATAAATCCTTGATTATTTCTTCAAAGAAGCTGCTGCCAGATCCAGAAGAATTTAAGATGGCATCAGATGCCTTACTCAAAAGTTCATCGCCAGAAACGCCAGTTGAATTGGAAACACCAAGGAATGAACTGAGAAGATCGCCCAAAATACTGCCGCCGCTTGAGGATGACCCGGAAGATGATGAGCCACTAAATAACGAAGAAAGGGCGCCTTCAGCAATTGCAAAAATGCTCAGAAACAATCCTTTTCCAGAGCCCGAAGAAGAACCATTGTTGGCGAAAATTGATTTAATTGCATTTGAAGCAAAGCCAAAGATATCGTGTAATAAACTGCCACCAGAACCAGATGAAGTGGAAGCTGAAGTAGATGTAGAACCAGAGTCAGACCCCAAGCCATCGATGAAGTTACCGATGGCGTTTTCAGCTACTCCCAAGATTTTGTCAATAAAGCTCTCACCTGAAGAACCCGACGAAGCGTCGCCATCACTGTTGAACAATGACTCGATGGCGTGTTCGGCGATTGAAAGCGCACCATGAATCAAGCTTCCACCTGAGAGAGATGAGTTAGATCCTTTGTCGAATAAAGATCCAATGGACTTTTCTGCGATATCAAGAACATCGTCTAAAAGACTACCTCCTGAGCCGGATGACGAGCTAGATCCCGAGCTAGATCCCGAACTAGAAGTAGAATTGGAATCAAAAAGATCATCAATGGCATTCTTAGCTCCACTAATAATATCATCTAAGAAATCTCCTCCAGATGAAGAACTGGAGGATTTATTAGAGGATGAGCTTGACGAACTGGAATCTCCTAATAATGAATCAAAAAGATCATCGAAAAGCGAGCTACCAGTAGAGCTTGAAGATTTAGTAGAAGCGGTAGTAGTTGAATTACTGTCGTCACCACCTAAAACAGAATCAAAAATATCATCAAGGAGCGAACCGCCAGTAGAACTTGAAGATTTAGTAGAAGCGGTAGTAGTTGAATTACTGTCGTCACCACCTAAAACAGAATCAAAAACATCATCAAGGAGCGAACCGCCAGTTGAAGTGGATGATGATTTTGAGGTGGCTGTGCCCTTGGTCGAAGTATTTGAATCAGCGTATTCGCCTTCACCTAACGCCTTGTCAAAAAGATTATCAAAGTATGATCCAGTAGTGGTTGAGTCGCCGGTTTTGGTAGAAGACGATCTACTGGCTTTAACGGCCGAAGTTTTCGTCGCAGACGATGATTCACTTGATTCTGAGTCGCTTCCTCCAGCAATAAAGTCAATATAATCACCAAGCGATGGATCGTAATCTGATGTTGAGTCGCTTTTCTTGGCTGAGGAAGTTTTCGAGGACGTGGTACTGTCATCTGCCAACAAATCTATCGATGGACTAGCACCGGTAGTTTCGACATTTAAGTCAGTAGATACAGATGCGGATCCTTCAAGGGTGACATCTGGTGTAAAGTCGGATATGGCTGGTGCAGCATTCACAAGCTGAGTAGCAATCACTGAAGTTATAGCTAAGCTGGAAACCAATTTCATTTCTACTTATATGGAGAATCTGTTTTCCCAAGGGTATGACGTAGAATAGAACTTTATGAGTTTCCTTCAAATTTTCAACTTTTCTTTCCTTCCAAATAACTGGGGGACTGCCCCATTTTAAGTCTTACATTTTAGCATCAGAACTTGACATATTGTTCTTTTCACGGCTGCTTTAGTATATGTTTATGTTTTTGCGGGTCTTTAATGCAATAACGAAAAGGTTTCCTAATTAGGAAATGATATTTATGGGTCGCATAACCTATTTCAGGAAATTTATTCATAAGTGAATAACTAAATCCTTTGTAAAGTACCGCAATTATGGCATAATTGTATGTACCAAGCATTTATGTTACCTATTTAGGTTGGTATTCAAACTGAATGCTAACCGGTTTAGTATTTGATATATCTAAAAGTGAAAAGATTGCAATATTAGGAATATTTAGGAAATGTGACGAAAGTTGCGAATAAACTGAAAAACACTTCACTATAATTATTTTAATTTCACAATATATCCACAAATCAATAATGAAAGAAAATGCAAAATTTATTAAAGTATGTAGGAATTATGAATTTAACTAACTGTCTGTAAAACATACCACATTAGAAAGAAATTTCTCTGCTCATAGATTTACATTTGCTAAATGTTAACAATTTATATACTCAAGCATGGCACTGTATTTAATGCAATGGCAAAAAATTGAGCTCTATGGCGACCGTATATTGCAAATGTTTCGTATAATTTGTGGTACCAGTTATGAACATTCTGTGGTCAAGATCATATGAACAATTTTGCACTGAAATGATTGTTCGATTTAAGGCACGCTTACTTAAAAGGGAAACCAATGCATCTCAAAAGTCCTGAACACTTTTTTATTGTGAAAAATGGTAAACATCATCAATATACCTAGTTGAGACCAAAATAGACCCGAGTAGGCGGTTGTCGATCAACGGTTACAAGATGATGATGCTTATATATGTTTCATAGTAGGTTCAAAAGACTTCGGCTGATTGGTAGTTATTCACGTGATTTCAATATGAACTTTTTCGATTAGTTATTAGCTATTCGGGACCTGAAAGAGGTTTCTTACTAAATTCCAGTAACAACGCAACAATGAGACCATCATTAGTGAGACTTGTGAGACCCCGTCGTCCTGAACGGAAGACATCTCCTATTTTACCTCCTTTGAAGTTATACAAGGCTCTCTTGAGGGCACATGCTCGTAAATTACCAGTTGAGTTAAGACCATTGGGAGATCAATATGTTAAAGCAGAATTCAAAGCCCACAAAAGCATTGATAATCCATTACATATAGTGGGATTTTTGACGCAGTGGCAGGATTACTTGAAGGGTATCGATGGTGGAGAATGGATTAACGGCAAATTAAGTCAACAGGATCTTGAGAAAATGTCCCCGGAACAAATAGGTCAGTTACACGAGCTTATGGAAGAGGCTAAGAGAGTCGGAGCCAGCGAATGATTGAAGCTCGTTCAGGTTTCTGTAAATATAGTACATTTAAATTTATATATTTTTATACATGTAGTAATAGAATATTATTTCTTATTTATTTCTTATTCGTCTTTATCGTCGTATTCTTCTTCATTTTCCTTTTCTTCTTCTTCATCTGGAGGCTTGTGTTGATTGACAAAGGCATATTTAGGAACAAAAGGTGGCTTTTCTATATCATGGATCTCAAACCATTTAGGAATGCACGAGCTTTTCAACCATGTTGCATCCTTTTTAGTCAGACAAGTACATCTTCTTTCCTTTCTAATTTCTGGATCCCAGGGACAATCGCCGTTTGGTGAATGAAAATATCCGGAGTTATCCATAAAGAATAGTTCATCCTTACTTAATAGTAATGAAACACCCATAGAATGAACTGGTGCATCCCCCCACCGACTATAATAGAATCCACCGGCCTTATCAATATGGTCGAAAAATTTTGAATATGCCTCCAGTCTATAAAAATCCATATCTCCTATTTCAAAGTTTGACCAAAAATGACACATATTATAGGTTACTCCTCCATCTTCAGTCAAGAAATCCATATTATTGTCTTTAGCAACCAATTTTGGGTTTTTACGGGAGAAATCCTGGACTGTTTCCCATAAATTTGTAACAGTGGTATGTAACTCTAAAGGAGCCAACGTAAATGCATATTTTTTATTATTTTCTTTCATATATTTAAACCAATCTTGATGGAATATATCACACTGAAATTCAACTTCAGGCTCTACTCTCCAATAATATCTATAATTCTTCATTATTGGTAATCGGTAGAAAAAACCTGAATTGAAACGACACATATGCCTGTAGGATACAGAGTCACCATATTTAACCTTATTTTTTTTCATCGTATGCCTTGTTTCGTTTGCTCTGTCTTCGTCAATCCAATCTGGATAGCTCCATATGTCTCTCGGTATTTGAACAAAATGGGCTTGTCCACTCACCAAGTTTTGTATAACTTTTATGAATGTCGGATGAAACGGTTCATCATTTGCAAATACCCAGTCATAATGATATTTGTTATTGAACCTATATTCAACTGATTGTATGGCTTCGGCAATACCCAGAAAGTCCTCATTTCTGACCAACGAAAAAAATGTAGCGTTCTCCCTCTGGTAGTCTACAATTTCACCGGTAATATTGTTACTAGATTCTCCTATTACAGCTCTACCGATAAACTTGTTATTATAAAATACCTTGCTTTCTTTAAATAGCTTCAGTGCTTCATACTCCGGATCCTGGGAAAGCAACAGCTTCTGGTCATCCAACCGAAACACACTTTCACGTTCTTTATCCTCCTTACGAGACGCTTCGGCGTTTTTCATCTCTTCAACATTTAGTGGATTATCATTAAGACTTGGCATGGTGTTGTCGTCTTTGTTCAATATTTGAAAATACGATATAGTGATTATTAAAAGTAAACAACTTAGCAAGCCTAATCTTCGAAAGGCTACTTTCCTCTTAACGTTTTGCATGCCATACATAGTTTACCATTAGAGTCTATTAAAACCTAAAATATATGACTCTAATTGTTATTACCAGGAGGGCCTTAGTAATTAAATTTAGACTAGATCGGATAGAAGCTAAGATATATTTTTTTCGCTTAGATCTCTTTTACTCGTGTGCGTATTTATGCTACTAGAAGGAAACAGAAACATAGATAAAAATGTCTTGTGCATTAATTAGAATCCAAAACTTACGATATATAATGTCTAGATGATTTATAAACCCTTACCGTAGTTACCAGAGGTAAAGAAATCGAGAATAATCTTGACAATGTCTTCTAAAGCCTTTAACCAGGTCTTCAATTGCTCCTCGACCTTGGTTTGATCAGCACCAAGTTTTTCAAAAAAGTCCTTTCTGTATGGACAAGCTTTCATTGCTAACTTGAAAATTGGCTTGACCAACATACCGTGATATTGAGATAAGGTTTTGGAATAAGCATCGGTAAAAGTGACAGTTAACTCCTTGGAAGGGTTATCAATGGTCTCTCTCATGGCTTGACTCGTGAATTGCAAACCACGAGACAACCACAATAAACCTTGAGTAGCAGTTTTGGTCTTGGTGTTGGCTTCTGACAGAACTAAATCTTGCAAAGTGCCAGAACCAGCTGGATCAGCCAATAATTTAGTACGAATTTTAGTAATGTTACCGGTCATATCCTTCTGTACAACTTGGAAAGCTGATGAGCCTAATAAGTCAAATAATTTGACTAAAGATTCAGAAGCTTCCAAAAAGCTGGCAGTGTCAACCTTATCGTCAGTAATAGGAACATCTGCAAAGGACTTTTTCATTTCATCAAAGAATGTAGACATTTTGGCACTTGTGTTGATTATCAATAATGTAGAGGTATATTATTATGGTCAAAAATATTATGAACAGTAGTAATAGTTGTTCATTTCATCTAGACGTGTAATGTTCGCTGTCTAAATCAAAAGACACAATCACGTGATATTTTTTGATTTCTTCTGCCATACTAACCCTACAGTTTTTTTGCAATATAATACAACTAAATTATTAATACATAAGAAAAGAAGAAAATCGTTATCTATAAGTTATACAGTCATCACCATTCTAATTTTTCAGCCCATCTCACCTTTTGCTTTTTAGGGGTTTTTTTGTTACTGATTGAATTGCTTTTGTCATTAGGCGAATCTAGTGATTCAGACTTGGAGAGAGTGGCTTGGTTGACAACTTGTACGCCTGAATTATTTTGTGAAGTTAACTTGTGCTTGTATTTTTCATATTCTTCTTTATTATAAAACCCAGGACGTTCGCGAGTGTCGTTGGAAATCTGAGAATTCGTCGAATAGTACTTATTCTGAAATGCTTTTATGATTGCCATTTTTTGTTTTTGCTTCTTGGATGCCGGCTTCTGTGATTCCTCGTTAGTTGGGATTTGCACTATTTCGTTTACATGTTCTGGTAAAGGGAAACCTTCGCAGTTGGAGGCATTGAGTTCAGTGCCAAACTGGGTTGCATCGTTTATGAAGCCCGTCAGCGAATCAACAAGGTAAATATTATATGGAGAGGGTTGATATTTAAGCGAAGGTTTAAATGGCACAACGTTGCCCGTATGATTCGGGGTACATATCCTTTTAGGTGATATTGTACTGTCTTTCCTAACCATGAATTCATTCGTAGGCTTTTTTAATTCGATATTTGTAACATTCGATAAGGGCTTCAACACTGGTATTGCTGATTTATTATATCCAGCCTTCCTGGGAGCTTTGAAGAATACTTTATTGGATTTTTTAATTGAGTTGGTATCTTTGTTTCTAATAGTTTTCAAGGGGTCAGGATATGGGGCTAAGTTTTCTTTGTCATCGTTCATGACATTTGCTGCATTAGTTAAGTAGTCTGTGAGTAGCAAGTCTATATCGTCTTTATTATTATCCACATCATGATGATGTTTTTTAAATCGTCCCTTAAAAATTCCTGTTCTTACTTGGTCATCCAATTCGAAATCTATTTCATCATCTCTATTTCTTAATCCTAATTCGTTCACTAATTTGTCTATTTTATCATTATTTAATCTCTTCCCACAGAAGAGATCGTCGTTCTCGTCATCTAAGCCAAAAATATCCGACTGATGCTGCTGCTTTCCTGCTCGTAAGTTACTCGTTACTTGAAATAATTCATTGGCCACTATACTTGTATCAGTTGCTTCCGGTTTAAGGGAAAGGTTTGGAGAGTCTAAGGATAATTTATGATTCCCTTTCATAGCTATATTTTTTGTTAAATGATTATTTTTCTTGGTTGGACTGGACATATTCAGCTTGCATGGATCACAGTCATCAGACCTAGTCTTGGAGCAGTCTACATAATCTTCATGGGAAATTGGTATGACGGAATCCTCGTTAAGCAAGTCTTGTAAATCTAATTTCAAATCGTCATTATAGTTTAAGAATTCACCATTGAAGCTGTCAAAGGATGTATTGAGGTCAACCTCTGTTAATGAATTATCTCCACCCATACAGGCTAGCTTGAATATCACTGTATCTTTGAATTTTTTTTTTTGATTAATATAAGCTGTACTCTTGTGCAACTTTCTTATCTGTGTGAGGGTGAAGTTTAGCCAATGTATTGCAGATTATTTTTAAATTATGAAAGCAATTTCAAAGGCAGGATTATAGCGATGAATCGTTGCAGTATTTTGTTTTATTCAATGATTAAGAGTAGAATATATATAAACGTTAGTGGGTTCAAAAGAGTGTTATTCAATGATGTTTACAAAATAACCGAATGAAGTAGCGAAATTTACTATGACACAAAACCAAAAAAGATCTATTGAACAAGATACGCATTAGACTAACTACCAAAAGAGAGATATGTATACAAAGTATAGACGAGTTTATAATCCTAACCAGTAAAATGTTTTTGTTGTTTTAAAACTTTCCTCGAGTAAAATGTTGTCCGAACTGTTACCTACTTGGACCGCATAGTCTCCCTTTTCGGAAC